GATAAATTATGTGATCACCTTATTTCATAAGGCATCTTTCTTATCAGCTTTCAAAACTTAGTGGGAAAGGAGTGGTGAGAGATACTAAGTTCCTGCTTCCTGGTGGAACAGAACATGGTTTCACATACAATACTGATTGTAAAATTCTTAATAGTCTGTACTTTGGAGTTAATATTATCTCCATTTTTCTAACAAAGAAGCAAAACCTCAGAGAAGTGAAGTAACCTGCCTAAGGACACCTAGACAGCTAAGAGTAGAGCCGGTACACTGCACCCAGGGTTTCCTTACTTGTGGACTACTCCTTTTGCTACTCCTATTTCCTCCAACTTCTGGAGCCAGCCTTGGAGGTATTCCATTTCCCCCTTAATAACCTGTGGAATGCAGAATACAGTGAGGTATATAAAGTTCTGTTTGCAAAGATCTGGAAAAGGTGCTTAGGGAAATCCTCCTTGGAAACAAGTTTGCTTCACACTCCCCTAATTCCCTTTTGCTCTGCAGAGCTAGGGAGGATCTAAGAAGGGAACTCTGAAATCAGAATCCGCAGCAATTTCAGCCATAGTAATTTATAAGCGTGGGCGAGGACCTGTAACAGGTGTGACACCACGTTGAGTAGTGTTAAAGTAACTTCAGACCAGTTTCCTTTACTTCCTCCCATTGCAACCAGGAGTAAAGCTATATCAGCTGATACAGTTATACAATGTGCCCACCAGAGTGTCAAACGAAGGGCTCAAGGAATGCTGACTGCCTTTCCATCTTCCTCTTGAAATGGTTCTGGCTGCTTTTCTACCGGTCTTGAAAGGTTTTGGTAAAATGAGAGAAATAAATTTAAATCGCTGAATTTGCAAACTAGCCTGCTAGTTAGGGACTGTGAGAGGCTATCTCCTTTTCCCAAGATCGCACGGACTCAGAAGAAAGTGCATGGGGTAAAATCTCTCCACCCCTGGGCCAGAACTGGACAGTCTGCATGGCAGAGCCTGGGCAGAAGCAGGAAGGTGGGGAGGCAGACAGGTTCAGCAGAATGGAAGCGCAGCCGTCTGGAACGTGTCCAGTTCCACGGCTCTTCCAGTCACGTGGCCGTACGGTCCCAAAGCAGCTCGCGGAAGGTGGAAACCAGAAGCCGGAAGCTGCAAACAACGCGAGACTTTAGAGAGGAGAGAATTTCATTTGTCAGAATTCCTCTGACGAGGTAATATCCTGGTAAGAGAAAACTCTTTGATGAGAATTCGTGGCAGAAGGCAGGCTTTGGGGCCTGGGTGTGTGCCCCTTGGAAATAATGAAACTTTAAAATGCGTAGAACAATGCTGGGCATGGTGAAAGGTGCAGAGTAAGCGTTTGCGTTTTCTTGATGTTGTTCGTGCGTTATTACTCTCCCCTTTAGCCCCTGACTGCTGCCCGGGTTTGTGAGCTCCTCTTCTAACTTTACTCCCCCTAGTCGAGGAATGCTTTCCCCTTTCTTGTTTCCTTTTTGTTTACTGGCTTGTAATTGACTGTAACACTGCGATCCTTTAAGGCCTACAACATGTGGATGTGACACGTGCACACTGGAATGATTACCATAAGACTAGTTAAGGCATTGGTCACCTCTCTTAGTTACCTCTTCTGGGTGAGAACGTTTAAGATCCACTTTCTTAGTGACTTTGAAGTATACAAAACAGTATGGTTAACTGTGCTGTACATTATATCCCCAGAATTGACGTATCTTCCAACTGGAAGTTTGGACCCTTTGACCAGCATCTCACCATTATCCCTGCTCCCAGCCTCTGGTAACCACCGTTCTAGTCTCTATTTCTAGGAGTTCAGCTTTTTAAAATTCCGTGTATAAGTGATTCCATCTGTCTTTCTGTCTGACTTACTTCACTCCGTTCCTTTTTTTTTTTTTTTAAGATTTTACTTATTTATTTGACAGACAGAGATCACAAGTAGGCAGAGAGGCAGGCAGAGACAGAGGGGAGGCAGGCTCCCCGCTGAGCAGAGAGCCCGATGTGGGGCTCGATCCCAGGACCCTGGGATCATGACCTGAGCTGAAGGCAGAGGCTTAACCTACTGAACCACCCGGGTGTCCCCGTTCCTTTTTTTTTTTAATTAAGTTTTACAAATTTCATGAACAATATTCTTGTAACTTTTTAAAATAGCATAGATAAGGCAGAAGCCCTTACTACTCCAAAGTCTTACACCTCTCCCTTCTCCACTGAAGTAACCATAGTTTTTAGTGTGTGTGTGTGTGTGTGTGTGTGTGTGTATATATATATATATATATATATATATATACATGATACGTATATACATGTAATATGTGTGTGTGTATATATATATATAAAGATTCTCATGGAAGTATATTTATATTCCTATAAGTAAGAAAAGATAGGCATAACTCCAGGATTTGTTCCCAATCTCAGAGAGATTGAGAATATATCTATATCCATCTCTCTATATTTATAGAAAATATTAGCATTGTTACTTGTCTATGTGTATTTTTCATAAACAGTAAATAGTAAGTGCTCATTCTGTAATTTGCCTTTTCACACAATAGTACATCTGGAGGATATTTGTATATTAATAAAAGTAGATTCACTCATTCCTTTTAAGTGCTGTGAAGCAAGCCACAGGATGGATGTATATAATTTAAGTAGACAGCTCCACTGCTGAAGCAAATTCAAATTGCTTTCGCTTCTTCCCCTGATTACAAGATACACTGCCAATAAATTAAATATCCTTGCTCAGACAAGTGGATGTTTTTGAGGGAACTTTTGTACAACGCGGGATGCCTTGATTTATAAATTGAAATACAAATGAGCAGCAGGGAGGAAATATTTACAACATACATAACAAGCTGCAACATGTTCTGGATTGTTATCCAAAATTACACATTAAAAAAAATTCCTTCAGATCGATAAGAAAAAGGCAGAAAGGACAGGAGGAAAAAAATGAAAACATGGGCAGAAGGTATAAGCAGACAATTCAGAGGAGAAATAAAAATAGTTGCTAGACATATAGAAAAATATTCTCCCTTTCCAGCAAACAGGGAATACAAAGTCAAACAGTAAGAGAGTGTCTTTCCTATGCTCTTTTGACAGAGATGAAAACACCTGAAGATGTCAAGTATGGGTGGGAGGAAGCAGATTTTCTCAAACCCTGCTGGTGGGGCCACAGCTGGACAGCCCCCTACACTTAAAAGAGGACCCCCAGTGGCCACCACTGCCAGGCATCCTGGCCACAGAATCAGGGCTCCGTCAAACATCCTCTGCCAACCTAGGCTTTGTACTGTGGGGTTGAGGGTCAATGAGCTGGGTCAGACTGTAAGCAAATACCAAATACCCAAATACCAATTTGAGTGACTTTCCTCCCAACTACAGGTCCCATGGCCAGCCATAGCTAATCACCCCTTGCACCTCCCTCCCGGGATAGAATTGTCCACCAGATTTCTTCAGAATGCAATTATAATTCAGCTGCTGGCAGCCTCACTGTGACTCCATTCCTTCCCTGACACTCAAGACAGTAAGGCAGGAGCTTACACCTGAGTTCAAGGACCACCATGTGACTTACCTCTCTTTTCTTTCTGACCTGCCTACCTACCTAATATGGGCATATTCATAGTATCTGCCTCACAGGGTGATTAGGGTAGTGGTGATTACATGATGGAATGATGGAGGGTAGTGGTGATTACATGATGGAATGTGTCATTAAATCTATAGAAATGGGAGTAAGATGCAGTAAATTAAAAATTATTATTATTATTCATTGTCTGAAGTCTAAGTGTGGACACGGTTTAAAATATCTTCCAGGAAACTCCTAAGCCCACGTGTCCTGCTGTTCTTCCCCCCACCCCATATCCCCCAATAAAGCAGGAAAGCAGAATGCAGTGGGATCTGGGGATGGGGTGAGAACAACAGGAGGGGACACCAAATGTATTTCCACCCAGCCTCAGCCTAGCATCCCTTGCTTCTTTCTCCTGTGAAATTACAGCTTTCTTTGGGACATTATGACTAATGTCATTCCAGTTATGGAATGACCAAAACGCACAAAATAGGACTTGTGAATCATATACTCAGCACTTTAAAGATTTATTTATTTTAGGGAGAAAGAGAGGGGGAGCTGGGGCGGGGTAGAGTGAGAGGGAGAGAATCTCAAGCAGATACCCCTCTGAGCTCAGAGTCTGACTCCAGGCTCGATCTCACAACCCTGAGACCATGACCCAAGCCAAAATCAAGAGTTGGACGCTTAACCAACTGAGCCACCCAGGTGTCCCTGTAGTCAGCACTTTAAAAATTTAAGATATTTGTTGAGTATACTGATGAGTGTATACTTGGGAGAGGGGAAATTAGGTGAAAATTAGTATTTTCTGAGCATTCGTTGTGTGCTAGGTATGTACTAGATAAGTTTATATATGTAGTACCTCACCCTCACAATTCTGAGGTCATTATTGCCAAGCCCGCCATTTTTTGTGTTTGCCTTTTGTTATTATTTTTATGAAGGAACAGGCTTACTGAAGATCTATACTGTTAAATTAATTAACAAGGAGGCCTTTTGTCTTTAATGCACTAATAACCTGTGTAAGCAAAATAAACCTATGCTTGAAATGCCTCAAGGTTAAGAAATCAAAACCTAGAGACAACCCATCACAAACAGCCAGATGGGCTTCCAAATAAGTCAACCACATAAGCTATCACCAATCAAATAACTTCCTTGTTTTGCCTCTGCCTCTTCTCTATAAAAGACTCCTGTTGGTAGAGTGTTCCTAATCACTTCTGGTTCAGTGCTGCCCAATTTAAGTTAGTTTTGCTCAAAACAATTTAAAAATTTTAAGATGCCTCTGCCTATCTTTTAACAGTTCTGGTGTCAGAAGATGGGTGTGAAGGTCTCCAGGAGCAACAAGCAATGAGCAGGGATAGGTACCAACTGAGCCCCTGGTTCTCACTGATTTTCCCTGCATTTGGAAGTCCCAGGTAAGTCCCCCTCAGATATCCCAGCTGCACAGCTTTTGCGTAAGCTCTTAGAATTTATTTGAGCATTTCTTTTACCAGACTGGGTCCTGAGACAGACTGGGTCCAACTTAAACTGGTCTAGGTCCAGTGGGAAAACTCAGGTAAAGTTTTGTGTTTGTATTTTTCTGTTTTGTTTTGTTTTTGAAGGAGAAAGAGTTCCTTGAAATGCAATCTGGGACTCCTCCATCTGGCACTCTGGCTAACTTTATGTATAAAAATTATGGACCCAGACTTGCGTTTGAACAAATGAGCTAATCTTACCAAACATAATCTTGAATTACTGTTGCCACAGTGAAAACTTTTAACCTAGATAATCTTATCCATTTATGAGATGGCCTGGAGAGAAAGGGGTCTCAGCCAAGAACTCAGAAATGTAGAAATGTACTGTTTCTGGCCATGCAGATGGGACCACTAAGATACCCACTCACTCTGGAACCGGCAGATGGGATCCTGGAAAAAGTAGCAGAAACCAGTGGAGGGTGAGAATTCTTACTAAAATCCAATTCCTGAATCTCTATCTGTAGTGCCCAGTCAAGAGAGGGAGTTAAAATATCACATTGTCCCTTCCTTTCCAAATTAAGACTATTGTGAATTTGGTTTTGGGTTACCCATTGATTATCAACCCTTCCTCTCCCAGGGACAGCTTTATTGTTTGTCTCATTTTTGTCCTTAGAACTGACTTGGCCTTCTGTCTGTCTGGGGCATGTAGGTTATTATTTCTTATATGTGAAGGTCGCTTAACCATTTTGTTGAGAAAATCATATCCTTAGGATTTTCTCAACATAATGGTTGAGTGACCTGAAAATCATAAGAATATGATTTTCAGCTAGCATCCTACTTGCGATTGGCAGCTCTCACAAGAATTGCCTAAATCTTTCTTTCTTTTGGTTTTCTTTGGGAGTGGTTCTAGATCTTGGTAGGGCTGTGTCTTTTTCACTTCATTAGGAATACCTATTGTGTCTATAGTCAAGCCATAAAGGACTTCCTGGTTTTGGTTTCAATTAACATCATAGGTATTCCTTTGGTTTAAAATAAAAAGAAAAATGAAAGAGTTCAAGACTTCCAGGAATTTTGTTGTTTGTCCAGGCTAAAACCTGATAATAAAATATTTGAAAGGATTTTTTTAAATGTGTTCTGTGGTCAGAGGTTGGAAGGTGATATTTAGAACCTGACAGGGATTATTTGATAGACCTTCTCACCTAAGATAAGATGGACATAGGGGATTTTTTTATTTCCAGCCTATTGTAAACTTTTCCCTGATATAAAGATGCAAATTGAAGATAATGGACGGATGAGCCCCTTTATTATATCATTTTTGTCGCAACCTCATTTTTTGAGGAATTAAAAGCAACAGCAGTTGTCTTACAAATCTGGTCTTTTTAAGAATGTAAATGTTCAAAGCCCACCTCTCCTTTTATTAATCCCCAAGCTCTCCCTTTTCATCTCAAAATACTTGCAAGATATTGTAAAAGACCAAGAAACTGGAAATAAAACTTCTTGGAGAAAACATGTCCTTTGAGATGTACTACCTGGTCTGTAGGAACCCAGAGGAATCTCTTTGGGTGAAAATGCAACCCTTCATTCACTTGGTTTCCAATGAAATCTTTAAAGTCTTCTCCATAATTATTAGTAAAAAAATCTAAGCCCTCTAAGCAGGTAAACTTAACTTATTCCATCTGCCAGAAACATAATTTGAGTCCAACTCTTCTTCTGTAAACTAGTAAGTTTTATACTTAATGTATCTGTTTCATTGCTAAAATTTTAAAATAAAAGCAAAAATCTCTGTTTGTATCTGCCTGAATGTTTATGTATGTCTATATACGTATGTCATAGATGTTTGACTATTGTACTTCCAGATGGTATCGCCAGACTTAATTTGTGAAAGAGCTCTATTTAATTGGCTTAAAGAAAATTAAGTGCTTATATAAATTAAGTATTCTCTCAGAGATATGGAAACTAACCCAAATGTTTTTCAAGTTAACATCATCTAGGAAAATCTTTCATAAATAAAAGCTAGTGTAAGTTTTGTTGGTTTAATTAAAACAGGCATGTCTTCAGAGTAATCAACATTAAGTATAATGCACACATACAGATTTTATTCTATGTGGGTTTACCGAAAGTCTCACATGCTTGTGTTATCTGTTAGAAAATTGGTTAGCTCTTTAATATATAGTGAAATTTTCATGAGTTAGCTAAAATATAATCACTAAGAACAGATAAATTAATACTAAAGAACCCCAAACAATCCAATTAAAAAATGGGCAGAGGACCTTAATGGATGTTTTCCAAAAAAAGACATACAGATAGCCAACAGACACATGAAGAGATGCTCAACATAACTAATCAGGGAAATGCAAATCAAAATGATGATAAGATATAACCTGTACCCATCAGAATGACTAAAATCAAAAAGACAGGGAAATAGCAAGTGTTGATGAGGATGTGGAGAAAAAGGAACCCTTGTACACTATTGTTAGGAATGTAAATAGGTGCAGCCACTATGGAAAACAGTATGGGAGGTTCCTCAAAAAATAAAAAACAGAAATACCATATGATTGTATAATTCCACTGCTGGGTATTTACCCAAAGAATATGAGAACACTAATTTGGAAAGATATATGCATTCCTGTGTGTTTTGCAGCATTGTTTACAATAGCCAAGATATGGAAACAACATAGATTCCATTAATAGATGAGTAGGTAAGAAAGTTCCTGACACAAACACACACACACACATATACTGGAATATTATGCATCCATAAAAGGGATGAGGTCATGCCATTTGTGACAACATGGATGGACATAGAGGCTATTAATGTTAAGTGAAATCAGACTGAGAAAGACAAATATGGTACGATTTCCGTCATATGTAGAATCCAAAAAAAAAAAGCAAATGAATAAACAAACAAAAGTAGAATCAGATCCATAAATACAGAGAACAAACTGCTGGTTGCCAGAGGAGTGAAGAGTAAGAGGATGTGAAAAATGTGTGAAAAGGAATGGGAGATACAAGCTTCCAGTTATGGAATGAATAAGTCATGTGAATAGAAGGCACAGCATAAAAAATAAAATAAATTCTATGGAAAATGTTTAAAGATTTATTTTTTATTGGGAGAGAGGGGCCAAGGGAAGAGAGAGAGAGAGAAAGACTTCTAGCAGACTCTCTGCAGAGCAAGGAGCCCAAGGTGGGGCTTGATCTCACAACCCTGAGATCATGACCTGAGTGTTAGTTAAATAAAACACTTAACTGACTTAGTCACCCAGGTGCCCCTGGAAAGTGTTGTCTTTTTTTTAGATTTTATTTATTTATTTATTTATTTATTTATTTTATTTTATTTTAGATTTTATTTATTTAGTTAGTTGTATTTATTTATTTTATTTTATTTAAGACAGTGAGTGAGCAAGACAACATGAGCAGGGGGAGGAGCAGAGGAGAGGGAAAAGCAGACTCCCTGGTGAGAAGGAAGTCCTGGGACTCTGGGATCATGACCTGAGCCAAAGGCAGACACTTAACTCTCCGAGCCACCCAAGTGCCCCAGGAAAAAGTTTTTAAAAGGAACAGATAAATAGATGTAAGCAAGATAAAAGTTTATGAATGAACTTTTCAACAATAATTGTGTTTTATGTTTTGCCTCCTTCAAAATAGTTTCTAAACTTTTTTGATAACTTGAAACCTCAAAGTTAATACTAAATTAAGTTAAATGATGGCTTTTCACTGAATAGCTAGATCAATTTCTAAATAAGATCCGACAGTAAAACATTAGTCACTGAACATGGGTTTATCTACTTTTGGCTTCTTATTACAGAGGAATTAAAGATATTTGGGTCATTACTAAATATGTCTTGTGCCACATTGAAAGATTTACTATGAAGAAGAATATGCTTCTAGAAATTATGGGATGTATTTATAAATTTGCCAACTCACAGAGTGCTAGCAGAACAGTTCCACCCCCGCTTATTTCTTACTTTTCACTAGGAACTTGCACATTAAGATTTCTAAGGGTTGAGAATTGTAATCAATATACATAATTAAAACTACTGGAAATAATAAAGGTGAAAGGAAACAGCTGTGTATGAAAAGTGGGTAAGGTAATTAGGATGTGTTTTTTGAATAAGGAAGTGTATGGAGGATGTGTTTTTGTTGAGGGAAAAAGAGTGGTTTTGTAGAATGATGTAGTAAAAAGAATAGAAAGAGTCATAAAGTAGAATGACAGATTGTTCCAGAATGAGAAAGAGAAAAATTTAGCACAAAAGATGAGTGGATACAAAAAGTTGTAGAAGGTTTGTAGAAAAGAACCACTGGGTAGGAAACTTGATGTGTGGTCTAGCTGGCTACTAGGAGAATGGGTTTCTTTACGTTTGAAAGAGTGAGACAAAATATCAGAAGTATCCTGGTACAAAATTAGAATTTGAAACTCTCTGTTAAAAATACAAAGTGTTCTTGGCCTGTTGGTCTGTTCTTCGTAAGGTATTGTGAAAGGTATTCCTTTACGTTTTGGGTATCTGCCTAGAAAGCAAAGATTTTGTGTCTTAATGAAATAATATCCTGTGCCTCATTTGTTTTTGCCAGGTCTTTGATTACTTCGGGAAACAAGTCTTCCTAGTATTAAAAGAGCTCAGTTTTGTTCGCAACCATGTAATCTTCTTTATTTGCCTTTATAATCTTCTATTGTCACTTTGGTATATAGACAATTAAGCATTATTTCACAATGATCCGTGATCTTATTTAATCAAATGTTCAAACTTTTTGACATTTTGACAACTTTCTAAAAATAAAATTCTAATTGGAGCTTTTTCACCTCAAATTTACTTTGAGGTTTGCCAAAGGTCCCTGGAAAATCTCAAAGGATTGGAGATATAAAGGAGTTGTTAAACTAATTCAATTTGTCATGTTAAATTACATGGGAAGTATTATCAAATAAGAAGTGATGATAAACCTTCTTAAGTTTTTAATGTATGGACATTCATTTCTAATATAGGTATTCCAGAAACTGAAGTTCCTAGTTATTTATCAGTATTCTCATTGTCTAATGATTACCTTAAATTGTTGTATGCCACGGAAATAATTACGTTTTCTTATCAAATGAACTCTCATTAGATCTTCAACCATGGCCATTTGTCTTTTTGTTCTCTATAGAGTGTTATTGTTTTACTTTGCAAAAGTTCTTTGTCTTCAGAGGGATTTATGGAAAGACCCTGACATGTATTCTGGAATCCAGATTTCTGATGACTTTGAAATTGTACTGCTGGACAACAGGATAGGAATTTCCAGAAGTCTAATGGAAAAGCTGTATTCAAGGAGTACAAAAATTAATAACATGAGATTGAATGAACTAATGACAATGATTATAATTTTTAGTGTCTCTGTTTGAAAAATTAGTAGTTCTTTAATGTTTTGATTTTCAGGTTTAAGGAAGCCTTTTTCTCTTTTCTCTTAAGCTATCTATGACCTACAGCAATTTAGTAAAAATACACTTTCATAAACAAAATTGAAACATTTGCTTTTTCTCCCTACGTGATCCCTCCAGAAACTTATTGAGTGATCTTATTTTCATGGCAGTTTGCAAATGTTCCATAAGACTCTGTTCTTCTTATAACAGGACACAGTCAGAAATATTGGTTACATTACTAAGGCTTTGACTAGAATGTCATCTTTAAGAATGATGTGCATATAATCAGATGTGACCAGACAGTTTTAAGGAACTAAGTTTGACTTTACGGAACCAATAAAGCCTCTTAGAAAAACCACCTGGTCTCTTGCTTACAGGGTTCCAAACTTTACAAGGTGAGTAATAAAGGTCACTTCCTGGCAGACTTAGGAACGTTGAAATACTGGAGGACCTGAGAAAGAAAGGGATTTACCCAAATCTATAGATATTCTAGGAAAAATCTGATGGTCAGCCTTTGGCTTGTCTTCTAAGCCGTGAGATGCCTTTTAAAAGTCCAAAGGTGGTGGGGATTGTGGAGGGCACATATTGCATTGAGCACTGGGTTTGGTGCATAAACAATGAATTTTGGAACCCTGGAAAGAAATAAAATAAAATAAAATAAAATGGAAAAAAAAGGTCCAATCTTGAATTCCTTATGAAAACTTCCAGCAAAACTACCTTAAAAAGAGCATGTATGACCAGTCACCATTCTTGCTTTTCTTATGTAAACAGGCCAAATTTAATGAAACTAAACTAATTTTGCAAGCAAATTAGTCTGGCTTTGATTAACCTAGATAGAAATTGGTGTAACTATGGAGACAAAAATT